AGTGTGATCGATTGATACCTGGGCACTTGCTGGCTGACGGTGAATGCGCAGCTGCGCTCACGCCCAGACAAAGCTGTCTGAGTTCTGCGGTTAGTTTGGTTGTTTTGCTTTTTGCCTTGTTATATGTCCCTGTAGCTCCCTGGACTGGCACAAGTGAGCAAACAGACCCCTGCCATCCTTCCTGCTGCCCTGTTAGAACTTTCTATTGGTAATGGAAGATGCTCTACTGGGCGATAGGGAGGGGCGCAACAGGGGCCTGCGGTGCTGAAATACAGGACTGAACACCTTCATTTGCTCTGTTCTTATTTTTTTTTTTAAAGACTTATTTATTTTTATTTGAAAGGCAGATTTTAGAGAGAAGGAAAGAGAGACAGGTCCTGATTCATTCCCCAAATGATCACAATGGCCAGAGCTAAAATGACCCAAAGCTGGGAGGTCCAGGAGGTTCTCCCTTGCCTCACACGTGGGTATAGTGTCCCAAGGACTTGGGCCATTCGTCAGTGCTTTTAGGCTATGAGCAGAGTTGGATTGGAAGTGGAGCAGCTGAGACATGAAGCATTGCCCATAGAGGGTGTCACATTAGCAGGTGGAGGATTAGCGTGCCACACTGCCACGCTGTGGGCAACTTTGTTTACTTGGCATCTGGCCTGGGTTGGCCGAGAAGCGACCAGGCAGGTCTGCTGGAGCAGCGGCCTGGAGCCAGATGAGCGGGGCGTTTTCCTTCTCCAACCCACACCGCAGGGTTGAAAGAGCGTTGTATGTTATCACAGGTTAGGCTCCTATGACACCCACCCGAACAGCTGGTTCAACCTCTCGATTCCCAGCCACGCAACTCAGAAGGCCATGTGACAGTGAAGCCGTCAGCTGTTTGCCCAGCTCAGCCTGCCCCCTTGGAGGTGTAGATGGAAAAAGGAGTGTGGGATGGCACAGCTGTAGACCCTTCATGGTGGGCTGTAGGTATGCAAGGACAGTGCTGGTGGGGCGGGACTGGGCTGGGCTGAGCGCTCCTGCCCTCCACCAGGAAGTGTGTCCCTTTTCCAGCTGGATGCCTCCTGGCCTGCCCGTCTCTGGAGGCACACGCTCCTCCTGTCTAGAGTTTGGGCCCCCAGTGTGGTGAGATGCTGGTGGAGATGGTTGAGAGAAGGATCTAAGAGGAGGGCTTGGGGCCGCTGTGGAGGAAGGTGCAGGGCTCTGCCATTTAAATATTTTTAAAGCAGACTCCAGACACTGTCTCATTAATATTTGCATATGCTCCTACAGCATATTTGGACATGTCCATCTCAAGTTATGGTGCCATTGTCAGTAACATCACTCTTTTCATCTATGGAGGTGGTTAAATTAATGGAATTAATGTGTTTAAGTGAATTTTTTTGTTCAAAATTAACTGTTATTAGACGTTCATATGTCATCTGTGTTGGCTCAAAGATGGACTTGGGGAATGAAGACTGACAGTGACAGGGTCAGCGCGTGTGGTCATCTACATCCGGTGTTGTTCCTGGCAGACCTTTCTGAGCTCGCCGCCTGCTCGGCGCTTCCCTTGCACAGCCAGAGCAGCTTGCGGCCGATCCGGGGCCGAAGTCACGGCTTCACTGCAGCAGCCCTCCAGAACTTTGACTAGTCTTCCCTGGATCTCAGCAAAACGATATTCAACATCTTCTGGTTTCGAAAGCCAAAAACTTCGGCATTCTCTTTGATTACCTCGCTCCGCCTCAGTCCTGGGTCCAGCTGGGCACCAACCCTTATCCATCTAACTTCCTTGTTCTGTTTTCTTTTCTCTCAAATGCTGGTAGCTTTTTTTCCCCATGCATTGGTAACACTGTCATCAAAGCTCCCAGAACAACACGCTTGACCGTTTTTCTTGTTCCGTTTTGACTGCCTTCTGGGCGGTTTCCTCTTTGCTACAGGTGTGGGCTGTTCGGAGCATAAATCGGACTATATTCCCTGCAGTTTAGAAGCACTGGGTGGCTTCCTGGGGCTCTTAGGAGAAGGGCAGGTTTACGGCTGTGATCCTGCTCTGACTTTTGCCAGGCTCCTTTCGCCCCATCATTCATTCAGTGACTATTCAGTGTCTCTTCCCTCCTGGAGTCCGCACCGTGACATCAGAGGCTTTGCTTCCTGTTACATCCCTGTTGCGTAGGGCCCAGAACAGAAAAAATTCTCAAGTATTTGTTGAATGAATGACTGAAATGCATGGGCGAACCACTGAGAAGACGTGTTTAAAGATGATGAGGAGTCTGGCTGGTGACTGTGAGCATCTTTGAATGCATGGGTTCTGCAAGGGCTCTGAAGTATCTTTTTAGCTCAGACTCTTCAAGTCACCAGTGAGACTGAGAAGCCACCCTGCTGCAGTAACTGGACCCTCAGGCTGGCTGACTGCAAGCCCGGGACTGTTGCTCAGTCCCCTGACTGTCTTCCATTCTCTGCTTGAGTCATGGCTCTGTGTCTGTGTGTGTGTGTGTGTGTGTGTGTGTGTGTGTGTCCAGGAGGAATTCAGAAGCATAAGAAAAAAGGCCAGCCTTTTTTGGAGCGGCCTTGGCTCAGAACCTGCTCTGCATCGTTCCCGATGGACAGGGAGCTGTGTTCTCTGCACTGCTTGCTGGAGTTGGTTCTGTTGGTTTTCTCTTCCTCGAGATGAGTTGGAGTTCGCTTTCTTCCTAGCGGTTCTCCACCTGACCCTCCTTTTTATTCTCTGAAACGAAAAAGTGATTCTAACCTCTTTACTTTGTCATGTTTCTTAGTTCCCTGAGCAAACTATCTTTGGTCACAAATACAACCATCTATGATTTTTTTTCTAAGGAATTCCAAACTGAATGTAAACTTAACAGTTCTCAATCCCACATATTGACAATCAAGGGGACTACAGGAAACTATTCTGGCCACTGAAAGATGAGTCTAACACATGTTAGGTTTGAGTTAAAGGAAAGTCCCTGAGCCTGTGTAACTGTCATGAAAAATAAAAGTAAAAGAAAAAGATGTTAGGTTTCACAGCCAGGCCCTGAAGTCAGACAGAGCAACAGTTGCACATTGGTATTAGCTGTTGCCTGTATTAAATAACTCAGGTGAGCTCTTACTTACAAAGATTCAAAACATTAGATTTTTTTTTTAATATATAAGAATTTATTTATTTTTATTGGAAAGAGAAGTTTTACAGAAAGAAAGAGACAGAAAGATCTTCCATCTGGTGGTTCACTCCCCAAATGACCTCAATGGCTAGAAATGAACGGATCTGAAGCCAGATCCAGGAACTTCCTCTGGGTTTCCCAAATGGGTGTAGGGTCCCAAGGCTTTGGTCCATCCTTGACTGCTTTCCCAGGCCACAACTAGGGAGCTGGATGGGAAGTGGAGCAGCCAGACATGAACCTATGTGGGATCCTGGTGCTTGCAAAAGGAGGGGTAGCTGGTTGAGCCATCATGCTGGTCCCCAGATCATTAGTTTTAAAAACAACGGGATTTATGAGATTGAGACATATAAAATAACGCAATCAGAGCCTGACTAAAATATAGTTTATTTATTAGTGTGTGGATGTCATTACATGTTATTGGGAGAACTTTGACTAGTGCGAATCAGTAGTTTTAAATTATGTTTTAAATATTTACTTATTGGAAAGGCAGAGTTTCAGAGAGAGGGAAAGACAGAAAGAGCTCTTACAGCCACTGGTTTGCTCCCCAAATGGCTGCAGTAGCCAGGCTTGGGCCAGGCCAGATCAGGGTCCTGGAATTACATTCAGACCTTTGTCATAGGTGGCAGTGTCCGAGTTCTTGGGCCATCCCCCAGTGCTTTCCCAGCTGCATCAGCAGAGAGCTGGCTCAGAAGTGGAGCAGCTCAAACTTGAACTCAGTGCCCATACAGGATGACAGTGTCACAGGTGGCAGCATAACCTCATGTACCGTAACACCAACCCTGCAGATGATAAATGTTTAAATGATTCAGTTAAGTACCTGAGATTGTGTTTTAATGAAGCTGTTCTAGAAGGAGCAACGGGAGGAAATTTCCTTTTCAAAGTTGTTATAAACAGTAGCGATTTATCTGCTTTCTTTTCTTCTTCTAATATTTATTTATTTGGAAGAGAGTGGGAGAGAGAGAGACAGAGAGAGAGAGAGAGAGAGAGAGAGAGAGGTCTTCCATCCTCTGGTTCACTCTTTAAGTGGCCATAAAGGTCAGGGTTGAGCCAGACCAAAGCCAGGAGTTGGGAGCTTAATCCGTGTCTCCTGTATGGGTGGCCAGAGCCTAATCCCTTGGGCCACCTGCTGCTTTTCTTGGGCCACCAACAGGAAACTGGATCAGAAGTGGAGCATAGTGGAAGGAGCCAGCACCCAAACAGGATGCTGGCATAGTAAGCAGCGGTTTTTCCCGCTATACCCACAATGCCGGTCCTTTGTCTAATTTCTTAAATTTGTAAATTTTGTAAAAGTTCTAAGAAAACATAAAATGAGTTTTAAGTCTTTTTGGTGGAAAGATAACTTTGAGATGTTTCCAAGTATAATTTTTCAGAAATCTGAGCTGCCTGAGTGTGTGTGTCCATTAAATATCTTCACTGTCTTGAGGCGTATTTCCCAAGGTTTTCCAACCCTAGAGGGGTGAGCAGGCAGCACTTCAGTTCCATTCCATTGTGTTCCGTGCCTGTCTGTAAAGTGCTGATTAGGTCAAGGACTCTGTCACAGGGTTGTCCCATTTCAGACATCAGCCGTCATCCCAGTACTGCTCACCAACTGGGTATTGGTGTCATTGCTCCACACGTCACCTAGATAATGCTCGCACACACAGAGTTTGACTTAGGAAGGCTCTTTTCAGGTTGTTCTCTCTGCAGCTGTGTCGTCATCCTTAACCAAACCATAGAGATGCATAATAAACACAGGAGGGTTAGCCAGTTGGGCCATCATGCTGGGCCCCAAAGCATTAGTTTTAAAAACAGTGGGATTTGTGTGAATTCAGTTAGTAGACAGTAGCGATCAATTCCAGGATAATTCTTTAAAGAGATTGCCTTTGTGCTTTGTTTTAGAATCCCACGAAGCTGAAGAACAGCTGGTAGCACAAGTGGTTGGACAATGTCCGTCTGAGACTTGTTCCGGACCCTCAGAAAATGAGGTCCCACAACAGGCCTTTGATTCTCACTCAGTCAAGGATTTGAAGGAAGAACCAGGACGTGACAGTAGCAAGATTTCAGTAGTGAGGCCGTTTTCCATAGAAACCAAGGAGTCCACGGATACCCCCGCAGCTCTCGGAACAAAAGTAGCTCATGGCTGTGTAAGTAGCTCGGACAGCGTGCCAGAAGCCATTCAGGACAAGGCAATGACAGAAGGCACCATGGGGGCCACACTGGAAGCTTCTACCGATGCTGATCTCGGGCCCGGAAGCGCCTGTGCAGAGCCGGTGCCCAGCAGAAGCAAGCTCCGGAAACCCAAACCTGTCTCTCTCAGAAAGAAAATGATAGGGCGAGAGTTCCCAGAAGCGGAAGCGGCTGTGGAGGGCGTGCCTGTCCCTAAGACATCCTACCCGTGCGGTCCCGAGGAACTGGATGAAAACCCAAACCCCTCTTTACTAGGAGGCTCCAGGATCCCGAAGTCACTGCCCGAAGTTAAAGGAATCTCAGGTGCTCTCGCCTGCGACACCACGGACACAGGGACTGAGCTGCCAGAGGAGGCGAGGAGCTCACCTCTGAAGCTTGAGTTTGATTTCACGGAAGAAGTGGAAAATTTAGAGGCCAGGAAAGCTCTTCCAAGGAAACTTGGCAGGAAACTGGGTAACAAACTGACTCCCAAGATACCAAAAGAAGCTGTCAGGAAGCCTGTAGGTGTAGAGCAGCCTCCAGACCCGGCAGCCGGAGATGCTGCGCTCTCCCTGGCATCCTCCAGGCTAGACCCTGGTCAGTGGGATAGCCCCAGCTGTAACCCCTTTGGGAGCCGCTCCAGCCTGCAGAACTCCCCACCCCTGTCCTCTAAGGGCTCCTACCACTTTGACCCAGATAACTTTGACGAATCTCTGGATCCCTTTAAGCCAACTGTGACTTTACCAAGCAGTGACTTTTGCTCTACCACTGGTAATCATGTAAATGAGATCTTAGAGTCACCCAAGAAGGCCAAGTCGCGTTTAATAACGTGAGTGATGGAGCGCGTGCTGGGTGTTGTGTCCTGTGTGTTCCCTGTGACTTCGCAGCTGACTCCTTGTGGTGGCAGTGACCTGGGGTTAGCAGGACAAATACGAAGCTTCACTCCTATGTGGAATCAGAAACACCAGGAGTTTCTTTTTAGGTCTCTACCTCATCTCTGCATCTTGGTCTTACTGGGCTAAGCTCTTTTCCTCCCTTTGTAGATGGATTGTGTGTGTGTGTGTGTGTGTGTGTGTGTGTGAGTGAGAGAGAGAGAGAGAGAGAGAGAGAGAGAGAGAGAGACAAGAGCGGGAGGGATCTCATGGTGGTTAGGAATCTCAGCCAGGCTGTCAGGACTCACTGACAGATGTAAAGTATCAATGCTAGCATCACTTTCAGATTCTGGTTAAAAATAGTTCTGAAGCCACAAATTACCTATCAGGTGTCAACAGCATGTTGGTAAATAGTCCAAAAAGGGGTCTTGTGGAAGTCTTCGCTTAATCAGAAAACTGTGATGTTTGTTGGAAACTGTGACCGTGAGGTATTGGTGGGAAGGCTTGCCTGCACGTGTAGTTCCCAATTAGTTAGGAAAGATGAATTGTTAAAATTGAGAGCATGTTCAGTGATGAGTCAAACCTGACTGAATTCGTCACCTCGTCTTTGCAGGATGGACGTGGTCCCTCCCCCAACCCCCAGTTTTGGTTTTCTTGGGGAATCTGGATGGACTGTCACAGCCTGATGTCCTAGCAAATTAAACCAGAAAGGAAAATGCGCAGATGGCTAGAAAACGAAAGTACTAGTGTTAGCAACAAAAAGGTTTGAGCAGTGTGGAGGTGGCTCTTCGGCAGCCCCAGCGTGTCTGAGGGACTGCAGTGGAAACACCTGTGCTTTGAGTGTATGTCAGCTGGTGGGCGAGTGCTGGTCAGCTGACCCCACAGTCCTCTTGGGGCGTTTGAGGTGGGTTCGTTTCCTGGGTGCTGGACGTGTTGCTACCTTGACACTGCTCCCCCGAGTGGGCGGCTTTGCCTGCAAGGTGGTAAGGAGTCCTTCTGGAAGCCTTCGTTTCAGTTGTGTGTTGGAGGTCTGGAGCCTGTTTACTCATGGTAGATAAGATTAAATCGGGGACACAGAGCATTTATTCCGAATTTGTGTTCAGTGACAAAAAGCAGCCTCTCTCGTGTCCTGCCACCTTTACTTAACTGCTTGCACTTTCCTTCTGTCTTTGATCTCATATACCTTACAGATTTCTTCTTAAGTTTCTTATATGATGAAAATGCATTTTGTTGTTTCCATAAGAAAGAAATGCTAGCCTTCTTGTGTAACATCGGGAAGTCCCTTCATTGCAATCATATGCAAGCTCTTCATAAGACTCCTGGAAAATACGTATGAGGAAAACACTTCAAACTTTTTTTTAAAAAAAGATTTATTTATTTATTGGAAAGTCAGATATACAGAGAGGAGGAGAGACAGAGAGGAAGATCTTCGGTCCGATGATTCACTCCCCAAGTAAGCACAACGGCTGATGCTATGCCAATCCGAAGCCAGGAGCCAGGAACTTCTTCCGGGTCTCCCACGCAGGTGCAGGGTCCCAAGGCTTTGGGCTGTCCTCGACTGCTTTCCCAGGCCACAAACAGAGAGCTGGAAGGGAAGCGGGGCTGCCGGGATTAGAACTGGCACCCATATGGGATCCTGGGGCGTGTTCAAGGCGAGGGCCACTATGCTATCGTGCCGAGTCCCAAACTTTTTTATTTCCAGGAAAATAAACTATCTACACTTCCTTTTCCGCTTTTTTTGAAATGCCCTCTTAAATGTGGTAGTGGAGTCTTGGGAGAATGAGGAATTATTTGAGAAGCTCAGAAAGATGCGCAGATAGGCTTTTCAGATTCTTCTGTAAAAATGGAGGCTCCACGATACGACTGGGATGTTTGCAGTTCAGTTATGATAACTTCCGATTTAATGATGAGACATATTCTGAGAAATCTACCACTAATCAGTTCCACTGGCAAATATCATCCAGAGTATTTTCATACAAACTAAGACGGCTGTGACATCACTCAGCGACGTGATCATATGGAGCCACTGTGCCATCTGTCATTAACCCAACTGTTGCGTGGATACATATCAGACACGTTGCCGGCTGTCTTCACTCACGCATCGCCTTTGATCTGAGCTCTTAGGCACTTAAGTGCTCAATATGAAATATTGTTTTGATGTACTTGAAAGCATTGTGCACTTTCCCTTTCATCTGTAAACTTAAATGTGGCATTTCTGAGCGTCTCTGGCACTCTGGTTCCACTAGAGTTGAGGTCCTGGTGAGCATTTATCCACCAGGGCTAATGTTCACAAAGATGGCATTGTTTTCGTTGATTCCCTCGTAGAAAGCCATGTGCAGCTCTTACATCTGCCAGACTAGAGATAAATACGCCAGTCTTCACATGATTTTTCTCTCCATCTGTCTGTCTCTTTCCTGTCTCCAACTCTGTTGGTGCCTCAGGACCACTGAGCAAGTGCGATTTCTCTGTTTTCTGCTGTAAGTACTCTCGCAATTGTTTTCCCTTTGTCCCTGGGGCTTGGCAACCCTGCCCTGGCCATAGCTACACAGCATGTTGGCTTCTGACTTTGAGCTGATGATGGTTTTTTTTTTTTTTTTGCATTTCCTTGGCCACTTCATAAGTCAGCTTAGCCTTGCAATGATCTGTAGCTGAAGAGAGTGGAGCCCGGCCTTCCCTACCTCAGCTGTTAGAGCTTGCACTCCCCTGGCTTGGCACGCATCCTGCGGTACTTTGACAATACCCGGAGCTGGCTTGGCCCCCAGGTCATCACAGCGAGACCGCCCTGCTATTACTGTCGGGAATAATTGGTTGTTTTAGTAGGATAAATGCTGGCCCAGAGCAGGTCATAAATTTTATTGGAGTCACTTGAGTTTGGTGGTTGGTTGAGGGTAGTGTTTATTCAGTAAGAGCATTCGTGAACGAAAATCATGAACCAATAATCACACACTTTCTAGCAACTTAATTTTTTTTCCATAAAAAGTTACAAAAATTCCCTAAAGTTATAAATTCCTTTTTTTCCTTTGGACTTTTTTTTTGGGGGGGGGTGGCGGGGGAAGGGGTAGTAGGGCATTTTAATAAGTTCATTAAAATAGAACAGAGTCTGGATTATTCTTGGATGACTGAGTTCCTAAAAAACAAGCAGTGCAAGCTTTCTCCTGTTGTAGACTTGGCCTAGCGCCCGCGTTCATCTTTCGTCTTCCTGCTCGGGGGGAACCGTAACAGGTTACTCCAGTGCCATCGTGCTCTCTGCTGACCAGTGTTCTGGTACCACACAGGTCTAGGCTGGAGCGGTCCCCACGGAGCGTTTTGTGGCTGTTAGTGAATAAAGAACTGGTAAAAATTGTGGTCCAGCGTGATGATTCTTCTAGGGACTGTCAAAGCCAAGATGAGAGGAAACAAATGTCTGGCTCGGGGGTTAGAAACGCTAGTGGTCAGAATACTGGTACTTAACACCCCCACTGAACGTGGTCTGAGTTCTTTGCTCCCTCTGTCTTTTGGGGGAAGAATCCGAGACAGAAGACCTGTCTCCGCGTGTCTGCTGTAGGCGTTTGTGATGCCTGTGGCGCTGTATGCTTTGGCTTCTCGCTGCACACACTGCTTTCTGCTCCATCCCATCCCTCGAATGTGGCCAACGGGATTCCAAATCCGTTTGTGTTGCTTTCTGTCTTTCTAGGAGTGGCTGTAAGGTGAAGAAATATGAACCCCCGTCTCTTACGTTGGATGCCTGTTCTCAGGTAAGTCTCTGGGTGTCTCTCTGACATTGAGTCGTCCCCCAGCTGGAGGTTACGTGAGTCACAAACCCTGCTCAGTAGAGTTTCAGGAGGTCCTTTATACCCTGAAATCATCTGGAAGCTTCCTGAAGAAGAGCGGACCGTTCCACAGTGATCCCCTTGTCACCTTTGGGGGACGCGTTTTCTAGGATATGGAATTCTCATTCTGAATCCTGTTGAGTATGTTCACCACGGGATGTGAAAGCTTTGGGCATCAAACAAAGGGATGACTTGAAATACTGGGGTAGTTTCTCCAAAGACTCTAAAAGCTGAATAAAATTCTTATGCCAGATTGTTTTTTTTTTATTATTATTAATTGCTTTCAACAAAACGGAACCTGAATTGTCAGTTTGTGGATCATTATTGAGTTTTGATCTTTTTTTTATTTCAAAATGACTTCTTATTACAATGTGGAATAGTATACAAATTTTCAGTGATAACCTTAAAAATAGGTTTTGATTACATTTTTTTTTTGCCACATGACTTGGGGTGCAAAGAATTTGAAAGACAGTTTCATAAGATGTTCTTCTATTTCATTTATTCATGCAAAATTTCTTATTACCATTGTAACTGCAGAAACCAAGAATGAAATAAATGCTGACTTTATTCTATTGTAGTAATAAATAACCTACCGATGACTATGAATAAATTGGGGAACACAAAGAAAAAGCCAGAATCCCAAGCCCATCTGGTTCCAGTGAGATCCTTGTGATTTATTTTTGAAAATTTATCTCAGTACAAGTGTGACTTTAGAAATATACCCCCGTTTCTTAACAGAATGGAATTTAAATTTGGACCAGAAGCTTAAACATAATTTATTCAAAAAAAAAAAAGTGGAGGAAGGGAGATTTGCGATTGGAGTTACTCATCTGTTATAGCTGTGCAAGAAGGCGCCATCAGATTCCTCAGATTCTGTTCATGTAGGCAGCAAAAACAATGTGAAATTTGCTTAAGAAAATAAATATTGCAGAGTTTTTAAAATTATGGCTTAAAATTATAATTGATGTAAGATTTGCTCTTTTAACAGAAAATTTTATTTAGTCATGGCAAAAAGTAAAAAGACATGCAGAGGTTAGTTTTTTTTTCTTTTAAAGATTTATTTATTTTTTATTGGAAAGTCAGATATACAGAGATGAGGAAAGACAGAGAGGAAGAGCTTCTTTCCAGGTCTCCCACATGGGTGCAAGGTCCCAAGGCCTTGGACCGTCCTTGACTGTTTTCCTAGGCCACAAGCAGGGAGCTGAATGGGAAGTGGAGCTGCCAGTATTAGATCCCGGGCCCGGCACGGTAACCTGGTGGCTAAGTCCTTGCCTAAACAGTCGAGGATGGCCCAAAGCCTTGGGACCCTGCACCCACGTGGGGGAGATCAGGAGGAAGCGCAAGGCTCCTGGCTTTGGATTGGATCAGCTCCGGTTGTTGCAGCCGGGTAGGGAGTGAATCAGCGGACAGAGAACCTTCTCCTCTGTCTCTCCTCCTCCTCTCTGTATATCTGGATTTCAAAAAAAAAAAAAAAAAAAAAAAAATCAGTAAATCTTTAAAAAAGAAAGAAAGAGCCGGCACCTATGTGGAATGCTTGCAAGGCAAGGACTTCAGCCACTAGGCTACCTTCCAGGCCCCAGAAGTTAGTTTTAATAATATATTTTCAAATGTGTGAGACAGAGTCCCCATCTATGCTGGTTTCCCCCCAGGATGCCACATGCCTGGAGGTAGGCCAGGGCCAAAGTTAGAAGTCATGTGTTGAAGGGATCCACATACTTGAGCCATCGCTCTCTCCTCCAGGAGGTGCATAGAAGGAAGCTGGCATCAGGGACAACAGATTTGAGCCCAGACACTCCAATATTAGATGCAGCTATCTGAAATGGTGTCCTAAACACTGGACCAAACACCTACCCAGTATTACTTTATTTAACCCAGTATATACCTAAATATTTACAGTGCCTGATAAATATTTACAAACCATGAAGATTTCTTTTAAGAATTCTTTCGAGCATAACAAGGTTTAAATATCTTTTATGACTTTCATTGTGGGTCTGGCACCGTGGCATATTATAGGCTAAGCCTTCTGCTGTGCTGGCATCCTGTATGGGTGCCAGTTTGTGTCCTGGCTGCTCCATTTTCCATTCGGTTTCTTGATAATGACCTGGGAAAGCAGTGGAGGAGGACTCAGGTCCTTGGGCCCTACACCCGTGTGAGAGACCCAGAAGAAGCTCCTGGCTCCTGGCTTCGGATTGGCTCAGCTCCAGCCACTGTGGCCATTTGGGGAGCAAACCAGCCGATGGAAGATCCCTCTCTCTGTCTCTCCTTCTCTCTGTAACTCTGCGTTTCAAATAAAAGAATCTTTAATAAAATAAAACACATCTTGTTTCCTACTGGTCGCATTTCAAATATTCAGTGGCTGTTATGTGGCTGGTTATTATCAATCGGACAGTTTAGGCTCTAGATGATAAAGATAGTTTATTTAGACTGACAGAAGTTTTCGTTGATACTCTGGTTTCTCTTCAGATCGTGTAACTCTAAAGATTACCGTGGAGAGAAGTTCTCATTGGTCTACTTCCAGAGTTGAGAAAAGGGTAATTTGTGGGAGTAGTTTTTCTGACTGTTTTGATCAGCTGTTACCTTCTTGGAGGGGCAGACTTGGTTGAATTGAATCTGGTTTATAGCCTCTCTCTCTGCAGTACCGAGGTAGTTGTGTCGGTGTTTGGAAAATGTTCTGTTACTACCTCTTTGATTATACTTTCTGACCTTAACCCTGTATCTTTTTTTTTTAAGTAATAAGGTTTATTTTAAAGGTGAGAAATTCATAGACACACATGGGACAGAGTGGGTCAGAAAATAAAAGTTGGAGCAGAAAGAAGTACCTGCCTTCCATCTGCTGTGTCGGAAGAGAAAGTGTCCTCCCCTCCCCTTTTAAGGTTTATTTATTTATTTATTTATTTTTAAAGATTTATTTTATTTTTTATTGGAAAGGTGGATATACGGAGAGGAGAGACAGAGAGGAAGATCTTCCGTCCGATGATTCGCTCCCCAAGTGAGCGTAACGGCCGATGCTATGCCGATCTGAAGCCAGGAGCCTCTTCCGGGTCTCCCACGCGGGTGCAGGGTCCCAAAGGGCCTTCCTCGATTGCTTTCCCAAGCCACAGGCAGGGAGCTGGATGGGAAGCGAGGGTGCTGGGATTAGAACTGGTGCCCATATGGGATCCCGGGCATGCAAGGTGAGGACTTTAACCACTGCGCCACTGCGCCGGGCCCCTAAGGTTCATTTTTATTTGAAATGCAGAGTTACAAAGAGAGAAGGAGAGACAGTAAGAGAGACCATCCATCCTTGGCTCACTCCCCAAATGGCTGAAACTGCCAGAGTTGGGCCAGTGTAAAGCCGGTGAGCCAAGCTTCTTCCAGGTCTTCTGCGTGGGTGTACCACATAAGTGCAGGGGCCAAGCACTTGGGCCACCCTTTCCTGCCTTCCCAGGCACATTAGTAGGAACTTGGATTGGGAGAGCAGCAGCCAGGACTTGAACTGGTACCACAGGTGGCGGCTTTACCCACTGCTCCTAGTTGCTGGCCTTGCATTCTGTTTAGCATTCTCATGTCTCTCTTGAACTCACACATTGGATATTTGCTTTTTTTAAAAATTATTAAGATTTATTTATTTTTTTGGAAAGTCAGATTTACAGAGAGAAGGAGAGACAAAGATCTTCCATCTGCTAATTCACTCCTCCAAGTGGCCGCAACGACCGCAACAGAGCTGATCCAAAGCCAGGAGCTTCCCGTACTTGTGCAGGGTCCAAAGGCTCTGGAATGTTCTTGACTGCTTTCCCAGGCCACAGCAGGGAACTAGATGGGAAGTGGAGCAGCCGGGACATGAACCGGTGCCCATATGGGATCCCAGCACATGCAAGGCAAGGATTTTAACCACTAGGTTACTGCATCAAGTCCTGTATATTTGCTCTTTTAATGCTATCCAGAAGTTCCCCAAGACTTTTCTTGCTCTTGATTCTTTTTTCTTCTCTGTGTATTTCCTGGTATCCTGTCTTTGAACTCACTGGTTCTACCAGTTGACCTATTCTATTGACGGCATCTCTTGTAATTTTAAAATATTTTTAATGTCTTTACTTTTTTTTTTTGAAGGCAGAATAACAGAAATAAGGTAGGCAGAGAAGAAAGAGAAAGATCTTTTAGCCATTTAGTTCACTCCAAAATGTTCTTAATAGCTGAGATTGGGCCAGGCTAAAACTAGGAGCTAGGAATTCCACCCAGGTCGCTCATATGAATGGCAGGGATCAAGGACCTAACCATTATTTGCTGCCTCCCAGACGCATTATCAAGAAGCCGGATTAGACAATGTGTAGCTGGAATGAAACCAGCACTGTGTTATGGAGTACAGTCATCGCAAGCAGTGGCTTAACTTGCTGCACCGTTTAGCATGTTTTAAATTTTGTTTAGGGTACTTTTGAGTTCAAATATTTTATTTAAAAATTATTATCAGCTCCTGTTTAGTCTAAGAGTACTAAACCATTTCTCTGTTCTCTTGAGGTTTATTGCTTTCTTAAAATAGCTACTTTGAATTCTTCACTGAGAATTTGCAAATGTCAGTGGCTGTCTGGTTGGTCTGTGGCACCTTCTTTTGTTTGTTAAATGAGGTCATGTTTCTCTGGACATTCTTTTTTTTGTTTTGTTGTTTTGATTTTTTGTTTTTAAGATTCATTTTCCTACTTAAAAGGCAGTTACAGAGAGAGAGATATCTTGCATTCCTTGGTTCACTCTTCAAATAGTAATGACAACAGCCTGAGCTGGGCTAAGCCAACACTGGAAACCAGGAATTCCGCCTGGGTCTCCCAAGTGACAGGGACCCAGGCACTTGGGTCATCTGTGCTGCCTTCTCAGGCACTTTAACAGGGAGCTTTATCAGAACAGAGCAAGCCTATCAGATCTGGACTTGAACTGGAACTCATATGGAATACTGCATTATAGGTGGTGGCTTAACCCCTTACACCACAATGCCACTCCCACCTTGAAAATTGATACTTAATGGCATATGATGTTGAATGTGCATTAAAGATCTGTTTTTCCATTGTTTGAAACTTAGCCTTGGCTGAGGCTGTCCCAAAAATTCTAAGCAGCCTGCTTAGTTTCTCTGATCTGTGCATGCTCGTGCTATTTCAGCATTTGGTGGCACCGTATGCGGAGATTTGTGCAAGTCCACTGTTGGTGTGTTGTCAATGTTTCAAACCCAGAGGATGCTCCAAGTCCTGTATTGTCTCCCAAGTCCATACTGGTGTAGTATTCAGAATGAATTGGGACAGTATCTAAAAGGGGATAGCTGAGATAGTTGATCCCTAAAGGACTGGTCCTTGGGTTGGAGCAAGACCAGGCGTGCCGTCTTTTGGCTGCCAGCACCACAATGCCAGATCTCACCCAGAGCCCACAGCCCACCAAAACCAACACAGTACAGTGAGGAGGACCAAAGCCCGCACAACTGAGGTTTTCTGCTGACATTGTCACCCAGCCCAAGGTGAAGACAACCATCAGCTGCACACAGATGGTGCTGGCTGGGGCATGTCTCCTGAGTTGGCAGGAGAGAACTCCAGCTGAGAGCAGGGCAGGCCCAAAAGACTTCACATGGGCACTGCTTGGGGTTGGGGACCCACTGAGTCCCAAGAAGCAGTCCTGTGACTCCTTGCCATCTGACCAAGTTTGAGGCACAGGTAATTGAAGTGGTCTCTGGGCTGCCTAGTCACTGGGCCCTGTGCATGCCAAGCAGTACTTGCAGTAAGTCGTCCCCTCTGACCCCCTGGAGGCAAGTCCACAAGTGTAGAGGCTTCCTCTGTAAGCAGCACCATTTGGGTTTTACCAGATGCTGGGTCCTGCTGCAATAGGCCTGACTTTGCATTTCCAGACCGAGCCCCAAGCTTCCTGGCCTGATCCTGGCCTGATCCCAGTGGCTGGAGTCTTGCTCTGCTGCCTGCCCGAGGTTGTGGGAAAGCAGTGGGGTAGTCCTCCTACTTGGCTGCCTGGACTCGAACCAATAATCATATGGGACCTGACACCACAGGGGACAGCTTTACCGTCTGTTCTATAGCTCTGAAACAAATTTCTTAATGAAAATGGAGTGGAAATACACCTTGGAGAGGGAAGGGAATGGTGTGAATTTATGACCACTGAAGAACCTGGTTGTAGTTTTAAAATGAGTCATTGGTTATATATCAAGTCACTTTAGTTAGGGGATAGCATTATGCAAGTTGATGCTGATACTTAATTTGTATCTTTTGCTGAAGAAGTTTTCAAACGTGGCTTGGAAGTGCAGTGGGTTCTAGGGGGTTTGTTTGGTTTTTTAATTCTGTATATGAACAACTGCCTAACTTTGGGTCTAGTCTGGGAAAACTGAGCTTTTCAAACCTCAGACTCAAGATTCCAGAAAACTGCATTTCATGATTGGCCAATGCCAGCTTCCTCCGGGGTCGTGGGCAGACAGAAAGCTGTGGACTTGGTGTGTGGCTTGTCACTCTGTCCCGGGGGTCGTGGGCAGGCCCGCCTTTAGCCGTGTACATCCTCTGTGGATTGTGCTGCGCTGCCCCGTGGATGTTACTCTCCGTGTTTGCTCTCCTGAAGCATAACATCTTCTGTGTCGCATTCCGCAGGATGAAGGAGCAGTAATGCCCGAGCTCTCGGACATCTCTAATAGGGATGGCCATGCTACTGACGAGGAGAAGCTGGCGTCCACGTCCTGTGGTCCCAAGTCACCTGGGGCCGAGGCGAAAGGTGAGCCAGAGGAAGACCTGGAGTACTTTGAATGTGCCAGTGTTCCTGTGTCTGCCATAAGTCATGCGTTGTCACCCTCAGAAGCAGGTAGGAAGTATGTCTTCGTCTCTCTCCTCCGTACGCATAGCAGTGCCTGAAAGCCTGCCCGGGCAGAACCCTGGGGAGATCGGGGAGAACGGGGGCACACGGAAGGTACATGCAGGATGCTGCCTAGGAGTGACCCAGAACAAGTGCTTCTCCAATGTGGATAAACTGGGACAGGATGCCCAGGGACACTGGTGGGTGAGACTGCCCTAATTCTGTTATGGTGGCCATGTCTTAACGTAGAATGGCCTAAAGAGAGATGTGATGCTTTGGGCTTTTTTGGTCATGATTTACTCATTTTTATTTTATTTTATTTATTTTTTTTTTTAAAGATTTATTTTTATTATTTTTTCATTGGAAAGGCGGATATACAGAGAGGAGAGACAGAGAGGAAGATCTTCCGTCCGATGATTCACTCCCCAAGTGAGCGCAACGGGCCGATACTATGCCGATCCGAAGCCAGGAGCCTCTTCCGGGTCTCCCACGCGGGTGCAGGGTCCCAAAGCTTTGGGCCGTCCTCGACTGCTTTCCCAGGCCACAGGCAGGGAGCTGGAAGGGAAGCGGGGCTGCTGGGATTAGAACCGGCGCCCATATGGGATCCCGGGCGTGCAAGGCGAGGACCTTTAACCACTTGCGCCACCGCGCCGGGCCCGATTTACTCATTTTTAAAGCTTAGAGAGATAACCACTGACGTGTGGTGCCTTCCTGTATGCAACCTTTGTTCCAAGTTCCTTGTGTCAGCTCATTGCTCCTCAGCAGGTGTCACTCTTCCCTGCCTTGTTCAGAGGAACCGAGAGAGACCTAGAAGTGATGTGACTTGACTGAGCACCCTGAACTGGTGTGAGGGAAGCAGTAACAGCTGTGTCCCCACCCGTTGCGAGGTTCATGGCTGAGACCCCCCAATATAACGAAAGCAGATGAGCAAGATTGATTGTTCTTGTGGATAATTGTGAAGCAGTACGATTCAACAGGGGATGGATTGCCCATGGAGAGAGTTGAGCAAGACCTGTTGGTTCTGATCCTCTTGGGTGTCATTTTTGTCCTTTCAGCAAGGACTCCTGTAGGACCAAGTGCAGGGAAAGGTTGGAGGTTTCTGTGGCCTGCTGCAGGGGACAAGGGCCGAGGACTTTGTTGTCCCTGCTGTTTTCCCAGATGCCACAGGGCCTCGTTTTGTTATGTGCTTGGGCTCCTGGTTCTAGCAAATTGTAGGGCTACACCCAAGCGTCACCAGTCACATAGTTTTTCAGCCACTGTGCCAAAGTGTGTGGAGCTTGTGTTTATTTCGCTAGGCTGTTACAGTTGCTCCTGTCATGGACAAGGTGAATGAAGTTGGCCAGGACCCAACTGGAAAATGCTGCCTATGGCTCTGTTAAAAAACCTACACAGTGTGAGCCAGACCCTCTTAAGGTTGGGATCCTCAGAACATTCTGGAGTGAGGAAAGGCCCTCCCTGGGTTCCAGGTTGTGTCCATGACTTTAAACTCTACCCAGGAGAGTTTAGAACCATTCTCCTGACTCTGTTAAACATTATTAAAAATCTAATTTTTTTAAAAGATTTATTTTTATTATTTATTTATTGGAAAGGCGGATATACAGAGAGGAGAGACAGAGAGGAAGATCTTCCGTCCGATGATTCACTCCCCAAGTGAACGCAATGGCCAATGCTATGCCGGTCCGAGCCTCTTCCAGGTCTCCCACGCGGGTGCAGGGTCCCAAAGCTTTGGGCCGTCCTCGACTGCTTTCCCAGGCCACAGGCAGGGAGCTGGAAGGGAAGCGGGGTTGCCGGGATAGAACCGGCGCCCATATGGGATCCCGGGCGTGCAAGGCGAGGACCTTAACCACTTGCGCCACTGCGCCGGGCCCAAAAATCTAATCTTAACATGATTATTCTTTAAGTATTTGAAGAGATTTATTTGAGAGGCAAAAGGACATATACACAGATCTTCCAGCTGTTCATTAACTCCCAAGTGACCACAACAGCCAGGGGGCCGGAACTTGAATCCTGCTGAATCCCACCATGCTGGCTGGTCCCTCTTGTTTCTCCTCATCCTGCCTGTTCCCCAGGCCCCGGGGCCACTGGGGTGTCATTATGCAGGTTGATGGTGATAGAATTCCAGAGGTTAGGACCTGGGAGAGGGTTGCCTCTGAGTTTCTTCTCATGCAAGTATACGGGAATAACTTCCAGAATTATATTCCTTCTTGCTGCCAGAGATTCGCTCAGTATTCAGCTGGAGAGCTGGAACTCTTAAGGCACAGTGTTCCCACACAGTGGAGGCCGGTTGGCTTAGGGAAGCGGCACACAGGTTGACGAGCTGTCGCCCTGTGACCAGCTGGCTGTACCCTGGGCGTCAGGCTGGGGTCACTGCAGTGAGGGAGTGGCCCCCTGGCTCTCTAGTGAATCAGGCTTCCCTGGGAGAAGAGTCTCGCACCGCTGGAGCTGGCTCGTGTTGGTACATGCATAGCTGTTCTCCATAGCGGAATTCTCACACGGCCCCAGGAAGGAGCCTGCCACGTTGCATTTTAAAATGCCCAGCTCTGTGTGAGTGCGACAGACAGGGAGTCGGGAAACAAGTGCAGACGGGGGAGTTTGGACTTGGCTTTGAGGGCACTAGGGAGGCTTGGAAGGTGTTCAGCAGAGGAGTAATGCTCGCACTGAAGCGGTAAATAGTTATGACAGTATAAAGGATGATAGACTATGAGTTTTGTGTGTTTTTATTTTAATGGGTTATTTTTATTTTTAGTTGAGAGGCAGGGAGAAATCGTCCACCTGCTCATTGATTGCCGAGATGCCCACAGTCGCAGGGACTGGGCCAGGTAGAAGCCAGGAACCCAGAGTTTCTTCCAAGTCTTCCTGTGGGGGGCAGGGGCCTGGGACCCAAGTGCTTGAGCCATCACTCAGCGCCTGCAGGGTGCACGTTGGCAGGCAGCTGGATGGGAGGCAGGCCAAGGACTTGAATTTAGGCATGTTGGCTTGGGATGCAGGTGTCCCTAAGTGGCACCTTTAACTGCTGCCCCACAATGCCTATCTGTATTTTTTTAATTTTTAAATACTGCCTTTGGTAGTAGAAGAAGAGAAAATTTGAGATAGGAAACCAATTTCAAGGGTATGGGGAAAGTAATGACTTCAGTTTTTCAGGGTTAAAATGAATTCTTCCTGCCTTTCCTGCTGCACTAAGCAGATGGAAGACCCTCTTTGGGGCTGGATCTTTAATTCACTGAGAATGAGCCATAAAATGGCATTCAGCCTGAGGATTTCCTCTTTCTGAAATAATCTATGACCCGGACACCTCATTTGCTAAACTTCTCATGGACACAAGGGGGCAGTCTTGGCTGTTCCTTGGGAGAGTTCCTGCAACTCTTCCCTCTTCTGAAATTGTGAACTTTTAGCACTGAACTGCACAGAGTTCAACAGAAACAGTGCTCCTTTGACAGCTCAGAGATGCCATCATGCATTGGCAATCATTCTCACCCTGCCCCGGTCTCTCTAAGAATCTCAGTAGGAAGGAAAAGATCTGACTTCTTGGGCTAACTTCAAAATAATGATTTCTGTGTTTCAGGCCTAGAGAAGGAGGTGTGCCAGAAGATGGAGAAAGACAGCCCTGCTGTGCCAGTGAGTTGCTCAGCTGGGAGGGACGGGGGAGGTCAGGTCCCTTGGCAGTGTCTGTGGGAAGGCCACGTTGATGCGCTAAATGAAGTCTGGGTTAGCTGATGGGGTAAAACAGGAGAGAAATGTGAAGTTTCTTCTCCGGGAGAGCGCTGTAGCTAGTCTGAGTTAAGGTGTCCTGAACATCCAAAGTTTATCTGAATTTGTGAAGACTCCCCGCAAGAAGAAAGGTCTCAGTGAGTCTTCACGTGGCCTGAGTGGTAACAGGATACTTTTTGGTCTGTTGGATTAGCTAATTTGTGTTATTAAAATTTTACTAGTTTCTTTTTACTTTTGCTTTCTTTCCTTTTTAAGATTGGTTTGAAAGGCAGAACTGCGGGGAGAGGAGAGCAAGTGCTTCCATCCACCACTTCACTCCCCACACGGTGCTAAGAGCTGGGCTAGGCAGACCAGAGCCAGGAGCCAGGAGCCAGGAGCCAGGAGCCAGGAGCCAGGAGCCAGGAGCTTCAGCCGCATGGGCCCAGGGGCCGTCTGTTGCTGCTCTCCCTCGCCAAAAGCAGAAAGCTGGACTGGGAGTAGAGCAGCAGGGATTCGAACCAGCACCTATATGGGAGGCCAGCGCTAATAGCTGAGGCTTAGCTTGTGGCACTAGCCCATTTTGACTTTTTTGTTGTGATTACTTAAATCACATAACAGCTTCTAGTATATTCACACAGAACTGTATTGGTAGTAGATACGTGTTACCGTCCACAGCACCCTGCAATGGCTGTGGTCCGAGTGTGTTCCAGGAGCTACGGGGTCAGGCTGCTGCAGTGCGTGGAAAGGGTTGAGAAGGCTGAAATCATGTAACACATTTTAAAAATATATATATATTTTTAAGATTTATTTTATTTTTATTGGAAAGTCAGATTTATAGAGAGAAAGAGACATAGATGGGACTGTTTTCCATCTGCTGACTCGCTCCCCAAGCGGCCACAACAGCCGAAGCTGCACCGATCCAAAGCCAGGAACCCGGAGCCTCTTTTGGACTTCCACATAGGGGCAGGGTCCCAAGGCCTTGGATTGTCCCCGACTGCCCTCCCAGGCCACAAGCAGGGAACTGGATGGGAGGAAAGGCTGCCGGGATTAGAACCGGCGCCCATATAGGATCCTGGGTCATTCAAGGCGAGGACTTTAGCCACTAGGTTATCTCTCCAGGCCCAGTATGTAAATTTGAAGATTGATTTATTTGTTGTTATTGGAAAAGACCAATTCACAGAGAAAAGGAAAGACAGAGACAAAGATCTTCTGTCTACTGATTCACTCCCCAGAGGGCCGCAGTGGCCGCAGCTGAGCCGATCCAAAGCCAGGAAGATTTATTTTATTTTTATTGGAAAGTCAGATATACAGAGAGGAGGAGAGACAGAGAGGATGATCTTCCATCCGATGATTCATTCCCCAAGTGAGCGTAATGGCCGATGCTATGCCGATCCGAAGCCAGAAGCCAGGAACCTCTTTCAGGTCTCCCACACAGGTGCAGGGTCCCAAGGCTTTGGGCCGTCCTGGACTGCTTTCCCAGGCCACAGGCAGGGAGCTGGATGGGAAGTGGAGCTGCCAGCTGGGATTAGAACTGGCACCCATATGGGATCCCGGCGTGTTCAAGGCGAGGACTTTAGCCACTAGGCCACACTGCTGGGCCCTGCTTGTCCTGTTATTGATGATGTTAACCTTGATAACTTGGTTAATGTGGTGTCTACTGGGATTTTTTTTTTTTCCAACTGAGCAAATTTGAAAGGAAGAATGAGCTTTGCTGGTTGGATCAACCCGGAAAGTAAATTCCAGACCATAGAGGAGACAGTGCAAAAGGTTTCAACTGAAAAAAGTATGGATTCCTTAAGAAATTGTATGCATTAATTATCTCACATGATTGCAGGATACTGTGCTTGTGGCAGGCGAGGGCCAGCGCCTTGGGGGCCGTCTATAGCTCTGGGGTGTTTGGCATGCATGGTAGAAGGGCTATGTGGCCGCCCTAAGACTTGAGTGTTATGGCCCAGGTCAGGTTCGAAGATGGGCAGCAGTCCAGAGAGATCTGGCGGCAGAGCACCGTGGCATGGCAGCTGGGTGGCTGTGCTGAGCAGGCCCGTGCGGCTCCCTCCTGCCATGAGCGTCTCAGTGGTCCTGGTTAACCCGGAGGAGCCTCCGCCCAGCAGGTGGCAGTACAGTTGTCTAGGCCACATACCCGGATTCCCTTTGCCTCTTCTCTCCACTTTATTCCCACAGGCGAGACCTGTGTCTGTCTGTACAAGATGTGTTGGAAGCCTGCTGGCTTTCCCCAAGCCCTTGGCCGTCACCATTGTCAGCATGGTGGCAGTTTTCTTGTTGCGGTGGTCTTCCTGTCTGTGTGCCTACTTTCTCGTCTTGTACAAAATGCAGGACCGGTCTTACTGTTCTCATTCCCACACAGCCTCCTGTGATTGGACAGGGTCTTCCCCCCGTGATTGGACAGGGTCTTCCCCCCCCCACCCCCCCACCCCCGTCCCTCATTTGAAATTTGTCTAACGCCGCCGAAGTTCTTTCAGTTCTTTGATTCGTTTCATTGTTCTTGCCCTCTCCTCCAACGTGATGAACCCCAGCACCCACCGTGGTACATACTGAGCTGAAACCAGGTGGCTGAAGGAGGAGCAGCACTGAGTTCATGATTACATCTGTTTCTCTGAAAGTCCTGTAGGGCCGTTTCCTGCGTTACAAATCCAGCAGACAGCTCTCAGTGTGTGACGGTATGGCAGGAGCTCAGGCAAAGTCTGGCTTGCTTTTGATTTAGGACACAGCTCGTGGTTGATGCAGTAGCTGTGTGTGAAGTTGGGCTTGAACACTTATGTGGATCCGCAGTAACATCCCCTCAATCTCTACAGTGCACACTGGAATTCTTCAAAAAGCTTGTGGAAAGATCTAACTTTTTTTTTTTAAGATTTATTTACTTATTATTTATTTATTTTATTAATTTTTTTAAAAAAGATTTATTTATTTATTGGAAAGTCAGATATACAGAGAGGAGGAGAGACAGAGAGGATGATCTTCCATCCGATGATTCACTCCCCAAGTGAGCGCAGCGGCCGATGCTATGCCGATCTGAAGCCAGAAGCCAGGAACTTCCTTCAGGTCTCCCACGCGGGTGCAGGGTCCCAAAGCTTTGGGCCGTCTTGGACTGCTTTCCCAGGCCACAAGCAGGGAGCAGGATGGGAAGTGGAGCTGCCAGCTGGGATTAGAACTGGCGCCCATATGAGATCCCGGCATGTTCAAGGCGAGGACTTTAGCTGCTAGGCCACGCCGCCGGGCCCTTACTTATTTTTTAAAGGTCATGTTGGGGAGGGAGATCTCCCATTCCCTCCCCAGATGCCCCCAGTAGCCTGGGCTGGACCATGCTGAAACCAGGACCCCAGAACACCATCTGAGTTTCCCACATGGGTGTGAGATTCCAGTACTTGAGCTGTTAGCCATCGCCTTCTCAAGTGTGTTAGCAGAGGACTGGATCAGAAATACATTAACAGGGACTTGAAGCAGAGACGCCAAGCAGCAGCTTAACCCACTGCACTACACTGTCTGTCCACCCATGCACTTTTTGAAAGCCCTTAAGTGACTCACAATGACACATGCACTTGTGTGTCCAAAAAAATTGCACACACGATGTACCTCCCTCCCCCATTCATTCTGCTACTTGCTTTTCTTTCTTTCTTTTAACGTAGATCATTTTGTACCACCCGTTGTTCTCATGAGTCACTCTTGGACCATGGCCATAGTGTTTCCCTAGACCTAGAGGTTAGGGAACCAGCAACCTGTGAAGGTGCACATCTGACCTCTGAGGACTGCGTGGAGGAGGAGGCTGTGGCAGCTGGGCAGGAAGCGGGCAAGAACAGAGAGCTGAGGCTCATGGGACCGGCAGTACCTCACACGAGTGACGTCACTTTTCCTGGAAGCTCTGCTGCTTCCTTGCAGGGAGTCGGTCACGTGACCCGAAAGCAGCCAGCGCCAGCCTCTGCTTGTTTCCCTGTCGGTGGGAGACAGTGGAGTCTGCCCCTGGGCTGACGAGAGGATGAGGCACTGTGCTCCAGCACCCAAGCAGCCAGCACACTCACCGTGTGAACCAGTTCCTCCTGGAGCTCCTCCTCCGGGGGCGCTTGGTGCTGTTTTCAGTGTCAGGGTAGTGGAGGGGCGTTGAGTGAATGAAATCACTGACGCACGTCCGATTCACACGGCTCACTCACCTCCTGAAACACATCGCGTAAACCCGGCCGTCCCCGAATGCCGAGTGATTCATCCGTAAAGCGAACCAGGGCAGCTGCGAGGAAAGCACCGAGGTGGTGGCGTGGAGACTCAGCTGTTGAAGTGCGGTGCGGTTTTAATGGACGTGACAGAAGGGAGGGCACTGCTCGTCTTGGGAGCCAGTGATGAGGAACAGACGCTGGGCCAGTGCAGCGGCTCAACTGGCTAATCCTCTGCCTCCAAGGTGGGCTTCCCCTATGGACACCGCTTCCTGTCCCCGGCAGCTCCACTTCCCATCCAGCTCCCTGCTTGAGGCCTGGGAAAGCAGTCGAGGATGGGCCAGAGCCTTGGGACCCTGCACCCACATGGGAGACCTGGAAGAAGTTCCTGTCTCCTGGCTTTGGATCAGCTCAGCTCCAACTATTGTGGGCATTTGGGGAGTGAACCAGTAGATCAAAGATCTTTTTTTTTTTTTTTTTTTTTGTATCTCCTTTTCTCTGTAAGTTTTCCTTTCCAATGAAAATAAATAAATCTTATTAAAAACAATACATGCTGTACAATGGCCTTTTTTTTTTAAAAGATTTATTTATTTTTATTGCAAAGTCAGATGTATAGAGGAGGAGAGACAGAAAGGAAGATCTTCCGTCTGATGATTCACTCCCCAAGTGTGCGCAACAGCCAGTGCTGCGCCAGTCCGAAGCCAGGAGCCAGGAACTTCCTTCAGGTCTCCCACATAGGTGCAGGGTCCCAAAGCTTTGAGTCATCCTTGAATGCTTTCCCAGGCCACAGGGAAAGCAGGGAGCTGGATGGGAAGTGGAGCTGCCAGGATTAGAACCGGCCCCCATATGGGATCCCAATGCGTTCAAGGTGAGGACTTTAGCCACTAGGCCACCGCACCGGGCCCTAGAACGGCCTTTCAAAGTAACTTTGGAGACCAGTCTCGTGGCGTAGCATGCTAAGCCCTACCTTCAAACTGGCATCCCATATGGTCGCCGCCCACTGCCAATCCAGCTCTTTGCTGATGCACTGATTGACTTCAGATGGCCACAATAGCCAGGGCTGAGTCAGACTGAAACCTGTGAGCCTAGACAGTTCGACCCAACTTCCACCGCTTTCAGGCACATTCGTAGGGAGCCAGAGGGGAAGTGGAGCAGCCGGGACCCGATCTGGCACCCATATGGGACGCCATTGTTGCTGATGGAGGCTTAACCAATTACACCACAGTGTTGGCCCCCTATTTGAGCTTCTTCAGGACTGAGTCCATTTGGCCTATTCAGGTCTGTGTTAGAGGCGTGGGAGTTAGTGCTACCCTAGCAGGTCCAGGGATGCGTGAGAGGGTAAGTGCACATGGCCCACTGTGACGCATTGGCAGTACTGATTGCCCACCATAAGCCCTGGAACGCAGGGAATTCCTGGGGCTTCTTTGCTCATGTAAATTTGCAGCCAGGACTTCGTTGAGCTCCAGGTAGGAACTTGGTAGATCTTGGTTGCGTCTCAAAGCAGATGCTTCGAGGGACCCAGAGAGGATTAGGGGAACATGAGCCGGGATCCTTTGTGAAGAACATTCTTGATTGATTCCGTGTCTTTGTTAGACACACAGTAGGTGGTCCATCCCGCTCACGAGTGCTCAGATGTCCAGGGGAACTTGTCGCCCACCGCCCGCATGAAACAGCAGTCTCATAATGGCTGTGGGTCAGCGGTCACAGGGCAGACTTGCTGCTGCGTGAGCCAAGCATCGGCCAAGGGCTACAGCCATCGCTGGGCGTGGCCCGGGTAGATCGCTTGGCTCTCGGCAGAGGCCTCCGTTCCTTGCCACCTGGGCCCTTCCGTGGAGATTCCCAGAACAAGGAGGCCGGGGCTTTTTGATAACCTATACTCAGAAGTGACGGCCTGTGACTCTGGCCGTCCATCGGTCTGTGCTCACAGGGAGGGGATGACACGAGAGGATCTGCCCTGGGAGGGGTTCCGGGGCCGGTTTAGAGGCTGTGCACTGTGGGTGCCTTCTGGCGCTGGGGACGGCCCCTTTAACTGTGTGTGTGTGTGTGTGTGTGTGTGTGTGTGTGTGTGTGTGTGTGTGTGTGTGTGTGTGTGTTGGGGGGCCTTGGATTTCTGCCAGCGGGGTAAGCTGCCTCCTGCCCCTAGTGAGCGAAGGCATGTTTCTATACTGGGCCACACTGAGATCTGTATGCTGACACTTTCAAGGTGTGTTTGTGTGTGTTTGTAAGCCTCCCTCCTGGGGCCCGGCACAGTGGCCTAGCAGCTAGAGTCCTCACCTTGAACAAGCCGGGATCCCATATGGGCGCTGGTTCTAATTCCAGCAGCTCTGCTTCCCATCTAGCTCCCTGCTTGTGGCCTGGGAAAGCATTCAAGGACGGCCCAAATCCTTGGGACTCTGCACCCGTGTGGGAGACTTGGAGGAAGTTCCTGGCTCCTGGCTTTGGATCGGTGCAGCACTGGCTGTTGTGGTCACTTGGGGAGTGAATCATCAGACGGAAGATCTTCTCTGTATCTGACTTTGCAATAAAAATAAACAAATCTTTAAAAAAAGAGGGAGAGAGAAAGGAAAAAGATTGTAAAAAAATATTATAAAAAGTTTCACAAATTAAAAATTTGTTAAAAAAAAAAAAAGCAAAAAGAAAGCCTCCCTCCAATTTTGTTTTGTTTTACTTTTTCTCAGCATGTTTGTAAAGGTTGTAATGAAGGTCACGAGCAGGTTGAGGAAGGGGATCTGGGGTTCAGAAGCCGAAGACTGAGTGTCTGAAACATGTGCCTTCCTCCACAGGGACTGCTCGAGTCCTCCACGGAGAAGGCCCCTGTGTCGGTGGCCTGTGGCGGCGAGAGCCCCCTGGATGGGATCTGCCTCAGTGAATCCGATAAGACGGCCGTGCTCACCTTGATAAGAGAAGAGGTACCCGCTCTCCGTGCTCTGCTTCCCAGTGGAGCCCCTGGGCCTGTGGGCAGGGGCGGGCGGGTAGAGTCCGTCCCTCGGCTTCCATTGTCCTGGGCCCTTCTCTCCCGTAGCTTGTTCGGCTCGGGTCTGTGCCCTGCTGAGGCACTCGGCATTGGCCTTGGCCGTGACGTAGAAGGCTGTGTCTGCGAGCTACTCTGTTCTGTTCACATCTCCATCTTTCAGCCTTGATGTGTCAGATCTCTAGTTTTGCCGTGCTCACAAACATAACTGAATGAAACCTTAATTTTACAGAGGATACATGCTTGTGCCTAAAACGGCCTTTAATGTTAGTCTTGGAATAACATAAAAATGCTTCCTAGCTTTCTTCGTTGTTCCCGTAATCAGGCAGGTCGCCTCTTTTATTCCTGTATTATGCTCTTTGCGCCATCTCTGTTCAGATTTAAACATGGCTAGGCCTGCCATAGGTGTGTGCCCGCTGAGTCACTCGCCACCCTCTCCTGTTAGATGTCTGGGCTGTATTTGATGGGTTTGGTTTATGTGTTCCTTGAAGATTCTGTCGTTTCTCCCCCTGGCATAACAGCTTTATTTTAAATTTTTTAAAAGATTTTTAAAACTTATTTGAGAGGCAGAGTTACACAGAAAGGAAGAAAGCGAGAGAGATCTTCTGTTTGCTGGTTTATTCCCCAAATGGCTGCAACAGCTGGGACTGGGCCAGATCAAAGTCAAGAGCCTGGAGCTTGTTCAGAGTCCCTGACACGGGTACAGGTGTCCAAGCACCTGGGACATCCTCCGCTGCTTTCCCGCGCACATTAACAGGGAGCTGAGTGGAAAATGGAGCAGCTGGGACTTGAACCAGCCTCCACAGTGGATGCCAGCATTGTAGGCAGAGACCTAATTTACTGTGCCACAGTGTCAGCCCACAATTTTATTTTTATGCCGTGGTGAGGATAGTTGAACTCAGCCGATTGATTTTAAGCTTTGTAGAGTGACACGAGGTTGATGGCGGCGTGTCAGCGGTCCTGCTGCTACGCTAAACATGCCCAGCACAGCCTCACGCACCAGGCACGTGATTGCAGCTCCCTTGCTCCCGAGAGCTGCACCCTGTGGGGCGCTGTACCTGGCCTCTGGAAGCCCTTGAGATCCTAATGAGAGGTGCCCCTGATGGACACCCCCTGTTGGGAAGAGAGGTGCAGCCAGGCGTGCTGGGAAGTAAGGACTTCAGTAGCTCTTCCCACTTGGCAGGAGCATCCCACGCGTGGGTGTGGGTTCCAGCCTGACCAGCCAGATCCTCCTGTCCTATCTCAGTGCCTCCCACTTGCGGCATCAGACTGCTGAGCCCCCGCTTCTCACTGGCTGCGTCCTTTCCTAGCGCCCAAAAGTCTCCTGTGGAGGACAGTGTTGTGGTTGCACAGCTTCTGTGACCGCCCTTAGCGGCAGCTGCGTGTGTTACCTGCCATAAAGCAGGTGGCCACGTGGCTTTGCTAGTAGCCAAGCTCTGCCATTCGGGTGCTCCGCTGCGAATGTGCTGTGCAGTCAGGGTTGTGGGCCACGGAGGGGAGAGGCAGCCCACGTGGAGGGAGGTGCACTTCACCGAGGCTGACAGTGCCCGCCCCCCAGAACTCCTGGGAGATGACCTTGGAGACATGCTCTGTGAACACGAGCACCCCGTACGGCATCTATGTGTTGTGTATATACTGTCTCTGTTCAGTTCAGCCTGTAACAGCAAGCTTTATCTTAATGCAGATAATCACTAAGGAGATTGAAGCAAATGAATGGAAAAAAAAATATGAAGAGACCCGACAAGAAGTCTTGGAGATGAGGTTAGATTGGTGGTGTGCGGGAGGGGCTGGGGACAGGTATACTAGGGGTGTACGGTGTTGGTTTAATGCAGACTAGACGGTCAGAGTCTCTACTTACGAACCCCGGAGCCCTGCTGCTTAGTTCCTGCAGACCCATAAGATTCTTGTGTTTTTTAAAGGATCAAGAGAAATTTGTACCTAGACTATCCACGTGGAATACAGAGTGAGATTTGAGACATTGAAATGCTAAGTACTTTTTATAAGTTAATGATGCTTGGTAGCTTCCAAATACAGCACCAGCAAATAGATTTTAAAATGTTGGTTAACAAGAAACGAATCCATTTTAAATTGCTGTATTCTTTTCTGCTCACTTTCCGGAAAGGAAAGTTGTGAGCTATGAAATGATGTAAGATGCATCTGAGAAGGGAACGGGAAAGAAAGAATTTTCCTACTATATACAGCAGTGCTTGGGAAGAACTTTAGATGTGTCCACACTGCTGTGTGGCTCCTGAGTGTCGGCTGTGTGCTGAGCGTTGCCCGTGCTGGGCTTGGTGACATGGAGGGGACAGCCCTGCCGTGGCCACGCGCCGTAACTTGGAGGTGGGGTGTAAAGTGACCATGCGGCCAGGGAGGGGTACCAGTGGGCAGGGCGACACGGCTGCGCTTCTCTAGAAGTCTGTAAGTGAACCCGAGTCAGGCAGGGAGAGGGTGCAATAGCAGCATGGGCACCAAGCCCCCACACATCTCTTAGGAAGCCCCGAAGGGAGTCTTTCACTCAGTTTGTCAAAACAAAATGAATCTGTTGTCCTGGGGTATTCAAATAGATGCAGAGAAAAAGTAAATGCACTTGTTTCTAGCAATATAAATATCTTGCTAAACATAAAAATTTTTTTTTTAAGATTTATTTGTTTATATTGGAAATTCAGATTTTACAGAGAGGAGAGACAGAAAAATCTTCCATCATCTGGTTCACTGCCCTAATAGTCGCAACAGCCGATCGGAAGCCAGGAGCCAGGAGCTGCTTCTGGGTCTCCCACACAGCTGTAGTGTCCCAAGGCCTTGGACTGTCCTTCCTCGACTGCTTTCCCAGGCCACAAGCAGGGAGCTGGATGGGAAGTGGAGCAATTGGAGAAAGAACTGGTTCCCAGGAGAGGATTAGCTGGTATAGCCATTACGCCAGCCCCCTAAACATAAAATGTTTTAAAAAAAAAAAAAACTTTTCTGAACATTAATAATCTTTATGTAATATTTTTAAAAGAGAGAGTGAATGAGGCTCCACAGCAAATAAAAGAGGCAAATTGTCAGCATGTGTTACTTTGTTTACTGTATTTCTGTGACTTCCTTTGCTTCCAAATCCTCTTCTAATCATATCTTTTTTGTCTTCTTTAGGAAAATTGTGGCTGAATATGAAAAGACCATTGCTCAAATGATCGGTAAGGGGAAGACATTTTTCCTAGAGTCTGCGGCCATGAAATCTGTATTACTCTACGCTGGCTATTATATCCAGATAGCTGCTGTAAGCTGGGCGGCCTGTCAGCTGCAGAGGTTGGCTTCTTCGTTGTGGAGGTGGGAGTGCCAGGATCAAAGAAGGCCCTAGCAGGTCTTAGGTGCCTCTAAAAGACCACTGGAAATGAGCCTGCTTAGTGTGAGTGAGCGCAGCGGGAGCCACAGATGAGTTTTAGCTCACGGTATAAACTTTGTCCCTTAGACACGGTCACATCTCATTGGTGGAACCATTGCTGCCAGGAATCGTAGCTCCAAGGGCAACCCCGTTAGCATCCCGTGAGCACCTGGTCATGGCGTTCGCATCAGTCAATGAATGTCCTGTTTCTGCTCCAAGGCCCTACAAGTGACGATGAAATCTGTGGGGAAATGCAATGAAAAGATGGATCTGGGGCAGCCATCTTGCCTAGCAGTTAGACACCGGGGAGGATGCCCACGTTCCTGGATTCGAGCTGAGGGTGCTCCCAATTATGGCTTCTTCCTGTTTATGCGGCCCATCAGAGGCAGCAGATGACGGCTCAGGCAGTTGATTCCTATCACCCAATGGGAGACCCGGATGAAGTTCCTGGCTCCCAGCTTCAGCCCGAGTCAGTTCTGGCCATTGCAGGCATTTGGGGAGTAAACCAGCGGATGAGAACTCTGATCATCTCTTTTTGCTCTGTCTCTGGCTTGTCTGCTTCTCAGATAAGTAAACACAGAAGGGATAAGCTCATCTTAGCACAAAAGATTTTTTAAATGTATACATACAAGCAGCCTTCAAAATCTCCCCGATGTGTTCTGTGGAAAATCCCTACACGGATTTCAGGACAATCTTTGGAATCAACATAAACTTGTAGTTACATTTTTATGAATTTTGGAAAGTGCCTTTGTGTTGATTTATTCACTCTGAGCACACAGCCAACAGCGTGTCAACAGCTGCCTTGAGCCAGGGGACGCAAGACAGCGTTCCAGCACCATCCTTGGAGCTCAGTGTAAACAGTGAGATCACCAGCAAAAAGCGCAGGCGTGCAGAAAGCACCGCATTAACTGGGCCGCAGGAGCGACCCGCGTTTATAATAGGAAGCAGGAAGGTAGAGGGTCACCTTACCTGACCCCTGCTGGAAGGTGAGGGTCAGGGCGCTGCACATTCCTGCCGCCCTGCACATCTCCACCGACAGAACCAGAAATCGCGAGTTACAGGTGAAGTTTGTGAAAACAGATTCCATGGATGGTGAGGAGATTTTAGAGGGTGGTGAACAGAGGGTTCTGTGCAAAGCCTTTGAAAAAAGCAGTGCTGAGGAGTGCTTCGCCATTTAACATAAAGCCTCATCTAGTCCATGTTAGAAGGGTTGACTCCCAGGATCAAATCCAGGTTGGTCTTTGTGCATTTAACACTGACAGGAAAGTTTCTGCCGCCCGCAAAGCTGATCTGTCCGGGCTCAGGGCCTGGGCTGAGGCTGATGCTCTGACTGTCAGATCCTGCTCCCACTTGCAGCCCCTCCAGGGCTCTGCTCAGACCTCTGGGAGATGCTGGTTCCTGGTTCTTCCCCCATCTCCCATCGCTTGAATGAGTGTTTCCTCCTTACAAGAATGTGAGTCCTTGAAGGTGGAACACCCGGTCGCCTCTCAGAGAAGCTATGAGCTGTTTTCTTGTCATTTGAAAGTCAGAACTAGAGTCTCCATCTGCTGGCTCACTTCCCAGTTGTCCACTTTGCTGATGCTGGGCCAGGCCAGAGGCAGAGCTTCTAGATCTCTCACAAGGGTGACAGGGGCCCAAGCCCCGGGGCCGCCTTTCACGTGCCTTTCCCAGGCTTTCAGTAGGGACCTGGATCAGAAGTGGAGCAGCAGGGACACAAACTGGTGGCCGTATGGGATCCTGGGTGTGCAGGCGGTAGTTCCCGCTTGGCTGCTTGGCCACAACACCAGCTCCAACTATTTGGGATGAAACATAAGATTCTTCAAATGTCTTATTGTACGTTTCTGTGAGCTATAGTGTGTGCTGATCAAATCAGGGAAATTGACATTTGCATCTCCTTAAACATTTGGTTTACTATTTGGAGTAGCGTGTGATAATTACACACGTTTCTGGGGGCCAGTGCGCTATCTCCTGCTTGCAGTGTAACGTGTACTCCTCACATCGGGGTCGCTCACATCTCCATCTCACTGCCATGCGTTTATGTTTGGAGCCCTCGGGTTAGCCGACGGGCACACACTAGGTCGCGGCGCACGGTAGCTGTGCCAGGAGCTAGGACTCGTCCCTTCTCGGTACCCATTTAATGACTCGCACGCCTCTACCTTGAACTTGTGATTCTCCAGAAGACGAACAGAGGACAAGCATGACCTCTCAGAAGAGCTTCCAGCAGCTGACCATGGAGAAGGAGCAGGCCCTGGCCGACCTGAACTCGGTGGAAAGGTCCCTCTCTGATCTCTTCAGGAGATACGAGAACCTCAAGGGCGTCCTGGAGGGCTTCAAGAAGGTACCGTATCCGAGTCCTTGCGCCCCTCGCTGGCTGGTGCCCTGTTCGGACGGTAACAGACCAAACATCCGCCAGCGGCCATAGCCTTCCGGGTGGGGGGTGGTCCTGCTGGCCTTGCAGCTTCCATTCCAGGGAAGCTGTGTTTCATTTTGTCTTGTTTTCCACATTTTCCTCCTCCGGGTGGTGGGTCTAAGTGGGAAGCCATTGGGCACAGGCAGGTGTGACCGCAGGGCATGGCCCCAGAACGCTCCACCTGCCTCAAAGAGTCCACACGGCAAATAATTCAGTAAAAGTAGAAGGGATTCTATGTTGGAAAGAGTCCGTCAGCATATTCTAGAAGAAATTTAAGTATACTGTTTCAAAGAGGCATATTCTAACTTTGTGGCAAGTAGCAGTGAGACATACAGCAGTGAAAATCTTTATTTTTCATCTAAAAATAAAAATGAGACCTGCTAATTTGTCTGAGAGGGAAATTGCCGTGGAATGCCGTAGGCATGCTGATATAATTGAACCTCTTGTGATATTACGTGAAGGAACTGCATAGAATTCTTCCATGAGAACTGTAAGTGCTTGTTCCAGATTGGCATGGAGTATCGAATTAAGGGCATCTGAATTAACTATGGTATCCCAGTGTTTTCAAAACCGAGTAGCAGAGAAACAGAATGGCTTCTCTCAAACTCTCCCTCTGACACAGAATGAAGAAGCCTTGAAAAAATGTGCTCAGGATTACCTGGCCAGAGTCAAACAGGAGGAGCAGCGCTACCAGGCCCTGAAGGTCCACGCCGAGGAGAAGATCGACAAGTAAGAGCTGGCACTCGGAGCTGGCCGTGATGCTGGGGGGAGGGCGCAGAGGCCGGGAGGCAGGAAGGGCACTGTGTGGTGCAAGTTCAGGTGCAGTGTGTGTGTGTGTGTGTGTGTGTGTGTGTGCGCGCACATGGTTAAAACATAGAAAAGATAAAAAAAAAATAGCGTGTGGTATCTGTCCCCCTCCGGAGTCCGACTCGCCTCCACCGGGCTCACAGTTCCTGCCTCACCCGGGTACTGCCAGTTCAACCTCACCCGGGTACTGCCAGTTCCATTTCAACTTCCGGGTGTATTCCCTTGCAATTTCAAAACTCCCTCTCAGTCCCTGAAGAGCAACCTTCTTTACATTTTTAGATAGCCATGCGCTCCCATTCCATCCTTGGTGTATATCTTTAATCTCACCCATCCCTTCCTGTTCATCTTTAGCTGAGGCCAGTGTCGTGGCAGAAAGGGGTAAGCCTGTGGTACCAGCATTTGATGCCAACATCAGTAGTCGGGCTGCTTTGCTCCAATCCAGGTTTCTGCTAATCAACTAGAAGAGCAGTCGCAGGTGGCCCGTGGTGGCTGTGGCCGGCCGTGTGGGAGAGCCGGGTGCAGCTCCAGGCTCGTTGCTTGAGCCCAGCCCAACCTCAGCCCTTGTGGCCACTGGGAAGTGAATCAGCCGATGGAGGATCTGTCACTCTGCTTTCACATAAGTCGGTCTTTAATCTACGTTGTGGGTTATCATTCAGCATGCACGTGCGTTATCTGTGAAGTATAGGAGAGAAAAGCAACTGTAAGATGCATTGATGAATTGGAAAGAGTTAGAGGTTACAGAGAGATATTCCGTCCGCCGGCTCACTCTACGGTGGCCAGAGCTAGACCAGGCCAAAGCTAGGAGCTTCACTGGGCCTTCCACGTGAGTGGCGGGAGGCCCCCACCAGCACTCGGGCCGTTGCCCACTGCTTTTCTCAGACCACTGCAGGGAGCAGGACTGGGAGTGGAGAAGCCGGGACGTGAATTGGCACCCATATGGGGGCGGGGGATGTGGGCATTGCAGGCAGCGGTTTCACTTGCCAGGCTCCAGTTTTTCGTTTTGTTTCTTTATCTTATTTGAAAGGCACAGTGTCAGATCATCACTGCTTCAAATGGCCACAACAGAAAGACTGAAGCCAGGAAGTTATTCCTGGTCTCCCACCATGGGTGGGAGAGGCCCGAATGCTTGGATCATCGTCCACTGCCTTTTCCAATGCATTGGCAGAAAGCTGGGATGCAACCCGGAGATGTTGGCTTTGCATGTGACAGCTTAATCCACTGTGCCACAACACTGGCCCCAGCAGCTTCGTTTTTTTAGTTCTACATCCAGTGAAATTTCTTGTGGGAATGATATTCAACTTCAAGAAGAAAGTAATCTATACATTTTGCTGCTTCTATTCCTATTTGTGAAACCTTCCTCTTCTCCCTCCCCACTCTGGCAGGCTCACTGTGGGAGGCATCAAAGGCTTCCTGTGCATCCTTCTAGATTTTTCTCTGTGCCTGGCCAAAATGATTTTGTACTTTCCTTGTAAAATCTGACTGTATGTATTGCCTTGTGGGTTCGCCAGGGCCATTCTTCCACGCAGGAGCCTGGTGCTGCGTCTGTTGGTTAGCTTTCAGCATTGCGGTGCTGCTTCGCTGCAGGGCGTCTCCGTGGTGCTGGACTTGGCTTTGGTGGCAAGCCGTGCAGGGACCGTGCTGAGCACGGAGCACGCTGCCGAGCCGATGTTTCTTTTCTTTTCTTTTTTAAGATTTATTCATTTTTATTACAAAGTCAGATATACAGAAAGGAGGAGAAACAGAGAGGAAGATCTTCCGTCCGATGATTCACTCCCCAAGTGAGCGCAACGGCCGATGCTATGCTGATCCGAAGCCAGGATCCAGGAACTTCTTCCGGGTCTCCCACACGGGTGCAGGGTCCCAAAGCTTTGGGCCGTCCTTGACTGCTTTCCCAGGCCACAGGCAGGGAGCTGGATGGGAAGTGGAGCTGCTGGGATTAGAACTGGCGCTCATATGGGATCCCGGGGTGTTCAAGGTGAGGACTTTAGCTGCTAGGCCACGCCGCCGGGCCCTTCGAGCTGATGTCTCTGTGTCTAGATCACTGACACAGATCAGTGGCCCAAGGGCCTTCCAGCTGGTGCCCAGTGGTGCACTGCCTGCCTCGCAGGCCAGCCCGTTCTCTGGTCTGTTTTTCCATGCGAGGACATGGGGGCCAGAGTGTTTTTCTAGCATTTGCCAGGGTGGGGAGTTCTCTCACTTTCACCTGTAGGCCTCTGCTTCCCACTAGGGTTTAGCATCCGTTCAGCTGTTCACCGGCCGCCCAACTCCTGATACGAATTCCTTTGGCATCTCATTGATCAGCTCTGTGCGTCACAGACATCGGGTTCATGTCCTGACTCGCTGGCTGAAGTGACCCAGGCCACCCTGAAGTGCGGTCGTTTCGTTCCTTCCATTCTAAGGCCCTTGCAGAGCCTGCTTTGTAACTGTACTCCTTGGGGAGCTGGTGGCGTGAAGGACATCCCGGAGGCAGACTGTTCCTTAGCCGCTGTTTGTAAATTCACTTGTGCAGATCGCCCGTTCTTGTTCTTGCCGTTTAGCACACAGTCAGTTCCCTTTGGGCCTGTGGTGGCCGTGACTTTGGCTGACTGTGTGCTTTCTGTCTCCTACAAACCGAACAACCTTAACAGAGCCAACGAGGAGATCGCTCAGGTTCGAACCAAAGCGAAGGCTGAGAGCGCAGCCCTCCACGCCGGGCTCCGGAAGGAGCAGATGAAGGTGGAGTCCCTGGAGCGGGCCCTGCAGCAGAAGGTAGGGGCTGGTGGCTGCGCCGTGCCTGGCGCTGCTCAGCTTGTGTGTGGCTTGGGTGCTGGCAGCCCGCAGCCCAGCTGCTTGGTGAAGTGCCGTGAATGGAGATAAAAAGTTAAACCGTGGGCCTGTGGGCATGCTCTGTGGCGTCAGCCCCAGGTGGCTGCGTGCAGGACTGGCCTTTAGCTGCGGCCTGATGGACCGAATGCCCCTCAGGCCCCCTGCACCCCTCTTTTGTGTTGGTTCTGACTCAGCTTGTGAGGCGGGTTCTTTTCTCTCCATTGAGGCCCATCGCTGGTTTCAGATGGGGGCAGCGCAGGGTTGCCTCCTGGGGAAATGCAAGTGGTGCCAACTGTGAGCACCCAGGGCACGCAGGCCAGAGACGCTGCCCAGCCCCGAATGCCCACTGGTGCTCCCAGGGTTGGGAGTGGCTGCAGAGGGCAGAGGCCAATGGTGGCCACAGTCCCTCGGCCTTACTGTTCAGCAGCCTTGGGCTTTCCTGCTGGACCCCATTGTCTCCATTTGCATACTCACACCTGTGATGTCCTTTCAGTGCTCTGACCCTGATCCCAGGTCCCCCGACTGGAGGGCCTTCGTGCACGTGTGCTTTTCATGGTCCCCCCTGCCCCGAACCCCCACCCCCCCCCGTCCCGGGGATGCTGTGCAATAGCAGCAGCACTTGGGAACAAGTTCTGGGCAAGCTGCAGCGGGCTGGTGCTTACCCTGCCTCACCTTGGTCTCAGCGCGCTGCTGTGAGCGCCTGAGCATTTCCAGGCCACGTGAATGTTTATCCTGTCCCTCGGGCATACAGAGTGATCGTCTTAAAGATCAGCCTGCTCTGGGGTCGGGGCATTCTGAGTCCCGTGTGCGCCTGCCATTGGCAAGGCCACAGCAGGGTATCGTGTGGGCCAGGGAGCTCTGAGGTCGGATGTAGGCAGAGGCACTGACGTGGGACCTAGTCACAGCCCAGCCAGTCCTGGGACCGCTTAGCCAGCCTGGCCTCCCCCAGGACCCTGTAGGCGGCCTGCACAATCATGTCCTTTGTCTTTCAGAACCAAGAAATCGAAGAGCTGACAAAAATCTGCGATGAGCTGATCGCCAAACTGGGAAAGACCGACTGAGCCCTCGTCCCGTTAGCTCAATTCCTAGTGCGTTTGGCTGCTTCTCTTGTGACCAGTTAGACCTTGCCTTACCCAGGAGTGATCGCCCCCTTGACTTTCACAAAGCACACGCCTCCTGCCGCCCGTCCCATTGGCTGCCCACGCCACGGTGCTGGAGGAGAGCTCCGGCACTCTGCAGAGTTGGGGAGCACAGCCCCCTTTGCCCCCCTGCACCTGCCGTTCAGGTTGCCACACGTGGGGCTCCTGAATCCCTACTTTTCCATTTTTTTTTTTTTTTAAGTCTTTGCTTTTTTCCCCCAGGCGCGTGACGTTTGTGATTTTGTGGCAACTGTTTGTGGTCACTGCCTTTCTCAAGCCACCTGAATTTTTTGGTTTGTTTTGTGACCTGTTGCTGAACCTTTTGATTTTCAATGCCAGTGTTACTTAAGGAGACATGTGACCGGTGTTACTTGCAGTTTGCAGGCGAGAAGGGGCTCTCAGTAGCTCTCCCCACCCCCAGCTTCTCTCTATATACAATTACACTTGCCGCAGCTTTCCCCTGAGACACAGGCCAATAAGAGCCTCCCTACACAAGAACACATTTTCCAAAAACATCAAACTCTTTTTTCAAAACAGAGACCTGACCCCGAGTGCCAGCCTGAGAGCTGGGAGGCTGGCCCCGGCCATGCTGGGTGTGGTCCTCGGGGCTTCTCGGCTCCGCTTCCTAAGCTGGGACTTGGCAGCTCTGTCCCAGGAGTCCCCCAGATTCCTCTGCTGTCTTTTAGATAGACAAAGCAAATTAGCTATAAAACAACATGTACAGGATCTTATTAAAAGGCCACAGTAGTCCCCTCACCCAATACAAGGCAAAGAAACCATTGTTTTTTAAATTTATCAATGTGATGCATTGCTTTTCAGATGTTTAAAAAAAAAAAACAGAAGCCAAAAACCCTTTCAGATTTAAGATAGCATTTCTAACCTGACAGGCGGTAAGAATCATGTTGAGTCGCTCCAGCTCCAAAAGTTAACGCATGGGAAAGGAGGACAGGAGGGAGCCCAGACAGTCCCCAGAGCCCCTGCTGGCTCAGGCAGAGCTGTGGCACACTGACCCCCAGAGGCAGGTTTCCTATAATCACGCCCTTGAGTCCCCTTCCTGTGCCCTAGGCACAGCTGAATCCAGGCACACCCGGCTTCTTGACCCCGGGCAGTGAGGGTGATGGGCGCCACCTGCTGGACATGCTCATTCCTTCATTCTCTTCAAACTTGGCGTGAGCCATGCCTAGCAGAGGACCTCTGTTGCTGTTATAAAACACACAACCTTGCCCTTAGCAGAGGATTCCTCAGTCTGAAGCCCCAGGGAAGTGGAGAACACTTGTTAAAGCCGGAGGTGCCATCTTCCCAGTACGCATGGGTCACCATTGGTGCTTTGGCTGCATTTTGAAGCCTGCCATCTTAACATTCTGTACCAAACAAAGAACAGACGTTGGCATTGTGGGAGAAGTGGCTTGACAATCACCCAGACTTAGGGAGCGGTCGCTGTGGCCTCCTGTGAGTGCCGGTGCGAGGGGCCCCCGTGACCCAGCTCCTCTCTCTGTCTCTTCTCTAGAACAACAGAAATGAATTTTGCATCTGCTGAAACCTTTGCAGGCCCTTCTGCTGCCCTGCTGGGGTGACGCACCCGTGTTTAGCACACAAAATGCCAAGCAGTGACCGTGGTCCCGTTTGTAAGCGTATTGTCTTTCAGAGTAGTTGTATGCTAAAATAGAAGTGACCGCAACAATCTTGGTCAGGATACCATTAGAAGAAGCATTTAAACAAATGACAAGGAAAAAATCCCGCAAGAGCCCAACCTTAGCGAGGGAAGCAGCTGTGCAGGCACCCGGGCAGGACCCCGTTGCATAATCCTTGGCTGCGGCCTGCTCAAAGCTATTAGAAGGCCAAGTGCACCCATCTGAGTTCTTGCTGGCTATTCTCCACAGAGAATGCAAATGTGGCTTATCCGGCAGGCACGTCCAGCAAAAGCACTGAGCAGTATAGAGTATGTTTATTTTTATTTTTTAAGAAAACAAGCAACATTACAATAATAAAAGCTTCTAGAACCTTGGAGAGTGAGCGTAGAGTCTGCAGTCTGCAGCAGCACTGTGAGGGCACTTGCTTGCTGGGCAGTGCAGGGCCATGCCCGGCCCTGACATGCAAGGGAGCAGGAAGGGGTGCCTGCCCACTTGTGCTTCAGGGGTAGGTGGGTAGGCGGTGGCTTCCGCTGGGACTCTGACTCCAGGGCCTTTGGTCAAGCTTTTTGGTTTTTGGTTTTTGGGTTTTTTTTTTTTTGCTTTGCCAAAGTGCGGGGTGCCCTGCCCTCTCCCCAGATGAGCAGCCGGCTTGCAGAGGTCACTTGTATGTGGAGAAGCCCGTGACTTACCTGAACCATTTGTCCTGGCAACGCCAAGGAGCCCCACGTCCCTGTGTGGTTGGTTCCTGGCTTCGTCAGACTCGGGCCAAGTTAGGAAGCACCTGTGGCTGAGACGCTCGGAGGCCCGCTCACGTGGCAGTCCCCATGCAGCCCAGCCACACCCGGGGTCCAGCTCCCGCACCTAGGGTCCTTAGGTCCTGGGTCGGAAGCAGCAGTGTAAACTCCGACAGGCAGCCAGGTTGAAGCCCTCTCTCCCCACAGACACAGAGGGCTCGGGGGTGGCTCCCAAACCCAGAGGGACTTTTCAGAGGTGGCTACAGGAGTCCTCCGGCCCTCCCCCACTCCCTTCCTCTTTGTTTTTGGTCTCTGCCCTCCCCCTACAGTTGATGAGTGTCCCCTGAGTCCCAGGTAGGTGGCTGTCGTCGCCTTGTGGCCGTGTAACTGTGAGTCTGCCCTCTGACTTTGGGTTTCCTAGGTAACCTGTCTTTGGGAAGAGAGAAGCTGGGGTCTGAAAGAGGACATGATTTCAGCAAAGACTTTAAAGTACAGATGTATATATTCTGAATGGCTTCCGAGAGAGCAGAGTCCTGTTAGCTTTAGCAGAGGACACGGTCAGGGAACCCCCAGCGTGTCCAGCCAAAGGTCTGAGAAAGTCATCCACTGCAAAGCTTTTCACTGAAAGAGGTATTTTGAGGCGATTTCTATCCACAGAGGTTTGACTGGCTCCCAGATTCCAGTTATATTTAAGAAAGCAATTTACTGCTCAGAACCTGGAGCCTCCCAAACACGAAGAGAAAGTCACCCCAGACCCTCATCTCTGAGGGGCTCCCTCGGGCGATCGCCTGAGTGACGGCCCACTCTGGGGACGTTCACTCCTTCTGCCAGAAACTGCGTTCTGGAGACGAAAGATTGCACTTTCATAGTTGTTGTTAGTTTAGTCTAAATGCACTCCCATTTCTGTGCCTCTCAGCATGCAGTTAGAATTGGCCAAATGTTTCTGCAGAATCACTTTATAAAGCGATGTGGCTACAGCCACCGTGCACACGCTCTGGCCATAGCCCTTGGGCGGAGAGCAGTGCTGTCGGGGAGGGCGGGGGCAGCCGTGTGCTGCTTTCTGCAGGGGGAAGTGCCCCCCCCAGGCCGGAGCTGCCCTGAGTTTCCCCCACCTCGATTCTACCCCTTAGGACCGGCGGGCGGCCTGGCCACTCCTCCCAGCCCCCTCTCCACCTTGCAGTGGTATCCAAATCAGATTCCTCACGGTATTTGCTAGTCACACTGTGTACCCTGTACGAATGAACAGCTTTCCGGCAGACATGGGAAGATGTGGACAGACCCCCCCCCAGTGGGCATACAGGGTGCAGGTCCCCCACTTCCGGCCTCCGGCTCCATCCAGGCTCCGGGCTTCGCTGCCGAAGCTCCGTGGTAGCAGTGAAGCTCCTCAATGTTGCTGTTAGCCATGCGTGTGTTTGCCACTAGATCCCCCAGCCCCACATACTCATGTGCCAACCAGTAAGCGTTCGCTGCACGTCTCGCACCATGTCCCGTGGGGCGCCACGGAGCGTGGGGACCCGCAACGGGCAGGTGGGCGCTGCATTTAACTACTGCTGCCAGGGTTGCGTCGTGTGGGATAATCATCTACATAAATTTTATATGCATAGTAATTTCCCTTTTTATATGTCAGGTAAATAATATTTGTAAAAGTTATACTCACACAAATGAAATTATTATTATAATGATTACTAATATATTTTTTCCATGTTTCATTGCCTGAATAAAAAAAAAAACTGTTTACCACGGAGAGACTTGTTGCTGATTTCATGTGTGTGACCGTCCTCTCTCTGCTTTGAACTCATTTTGTTCCCGAGTGAAGCACAGCAGCCACACTATTACGATCTCCTTATTTTAGCCTAAAAATAGGGGAGATGACCTCTCCCCGCTCAGTTTGTAGGGTTTTGTGCACTTGGTTGGGTGTGTCACTAAAAACCAAACACACGCGTTGGCATCTGGACCTTACCGTGTCAATTTCCACGCCTTTGCATCTGTGCAAACACAGCTTGCCGTCGGGTCCTTCCTGACTTCTGCCCAGGAGGGCTGGTCGTCTGGCCTGGCGTGTCCAAGTCTCCCCACGCACTTTGCACTGCAAGGACTCACGCTAAGTCAAAGCTGAGTAAACATTACAGAATAGCCCGCAGAAAATAGTTGACAGTTCTCTTGCTCCTGGGCTGGTTCCCTGGCTGGGCCAGTTCTCCTTAGGGGTGGGAGAGAGCGAGATGAGACAGGAAACTTTGTGGGTTGAATTACAGGAAAAGGTGAATGTGATAGCTAAGACTCCCGGTTCAGGACTGAGATGGGAAGGCGCTCTAGGCTGCCTGCGGGCCGCACCCTGAGGCCCTGCAACACCCAGAAGGTTCTTGAAAGGAGCTTTGCCTACTGGCACACCCAGAAACCGCCATGAGAGGATCCAGAACACACCGCAGCGATGCCACTGCCCTCCAGGAAATGCCAAGGCAGAAACTCCATGTGCCGAGCTACTGCATGGAATACTGCACGAAGTTGCCCTTCGACTCCGTGCACACTGCTGTTCTTGGATCATTTCCAAGTGCAGTGGCCCCCTGCCTTTACAGATGGGAGCGCACAGGGTCGTGTCAGAGACCACCAGCTTTTAACAGATACAGTTTGGCATGGAAATCTGAGAGGGTGCTGCGGTTGGAGGGTGAGCAGCACTCCAGGTGAGGATGCGAATGAAGCCAGGGCTGTGTCTGGTTATTATGCTAACTCAGTTCCTTCACACCTGACCTTGAGGCCCAGCCAGGGAAGCACTGTGGCCCAGATAGTGAAGTTTGCATCAATGAATGTTGTTGCCCTCAAAAGGGACAAAAGAAATGCAGTGTTTTATACTGTTTCCTGAATTTACAATCCACTTAAGGAACCATTCCGCTCCAAAGCCCTCTAGGTCCTTCTGATTTACCAAATGCGGCTGGAGCTGTAAGCAGCAAAGCAAAGATCAGGAGGGGATTGTGGGGGATGATTGGATACGCAGGGAGGGATTGTTTCCAGGTGTAATTGAAGCTCCATTTCAATATAAGTGATGTGAGGTCCCCCCTCTGTGACTCAGCAGGCTTAAAGTGATGCTATTGACATCTGCGGCCCGGCTTCTTGGCGAGGAGCCCGGGGAGGCAGCGGATGGCAGCAGCAATGGTGGACCAGGCTTGAGTTCAGGCCCAGCCCTAGCTGTTAGAGCCATTTGGGAGTGATGGAAGACCTTCCTATGCCTACCTCTCCTGTTCTGCCTTTCAAACACCTGCTATAAATGGTCCACTAATCAAGACGATGCCTTCTCAGAAGAAAGCGACGCCTTGGCCAGACAGCCCAGCTCAGGATGATTTACGGGCTGTTCCAAGAACCTTCCAGACCTAAGGATGGGAAGAAAGATCAGCCTCCCAAACAGGACAGGATGGAGGGGAATTGTTAAGCTGTGTGGCACACACAGGTTTTCCTCCCTGGTTTGCTCAGCATTTAACAGAATTCAGGCTCAGGGCACGTGAATCCTAGCTCCTCAGTGACTAAGCTTCTCTGACTCAAAGGTCCCATCTCCAGGTGACTGCACAGCCCCGGCCCTGCAGTGACAGTTAGCACCTGGAACTTGGAGTTTAAAATATTGCCCAGTGGCTCCCCCTTATGGCCAGATGGTTGCCGGTTTGGTAAAGCACCTCAACACCATAGAGCTTTGCAAAGATAACGCATTACCTGGCTTGGTTGAAACCCAGAGCAATGGAAAACTACCCGAAGGTGCGATCGTGCAGTGGGGGGTGACTGAACTATGAAATGAGAGACGGAAATGCACGCCCAGCTCTCCAAGATGTATGCCAAACGTGAAATAGTAGATTTCCATGATCCTTTTTTTCCTTTGGCAAGATGTAGAATTCCTTCAAAGTTTGGCCCCTATAGGAATATATATTCTAAAGCACACTAGCCTTCTGCCACCCCCAGCACATCGTGGCAAGCAGAGAACGCTGGTAGGGTGTTAGGCTGCCACCTGCAATGCCAGCATCTCATATGGGTACCAATTCAAGTTCCGGCTGCTTCACTTCCCATCTAGCTCCCGTACTAATGTGCCCGGGAAAGCAGCAGAGGATGGGCTAAGTGCTTGAGCTCCTGCAGCCATGTGGGAGACCCAGCCGTCCCAGGCAGCATCCCTGGCTTCGTGCTAGCACAATCCCAGCCATCATGACCTTTAGTGCAAGTGAGTCAGCAGATGAAAGATTCTCTGTAACTGCCTTTCAAATAGATAGATGTTTTATAAAGCACACTAGAGGTATGTCTCAGTTAACAAATTTATTCTTTTTTTTTTTTAAGATTTGTTTTTATTATTTTTTTTATTGGAAAGGAGGATATACAAGGCAAGGACTTAACCACTTGCGCCACCGCATTGGGCCCAACAAATTTATTCTTTAGAGCCCGGCGGTGTGGCCTAGCGGCTAAAGTCCTGGCTTTGAACGTGCCGGGATCCCATATGGGCGCTGGTTGTAATCCCGGCTGCTCCACTTCCCATCCAGCTCCCTGCCTGTGGCCTGGGAAAGCAGTCCAGGATGGCCCAAAGCCTTGGGACCCTGCACCTATGTGGGAGACCCAGAAGAAGTTCCTGGCTTCTGGCTTGGAACCGGCATAGCATTGGCCATTGCACTCACTTGGGGAGTGAATCATTGGACGGAAGATCTTCCTCTCTGTCTCTTCTCCTCTCTGTATATCTGACTTTCCAATAAAAATAAATAAATCTTTTTTAAAAAAAATTATTCTTTAGCCAAAGGACAGGACACTGAATGTGAGTCCCCCCCCATGTCCCCTTCACAGAGGCAGACACGTGGGCACATCGCCCCTTCCACTGAGCAGCGCTGTGTGCTGTAACCGACAGAAGGACATAACGCACTCCCGGAGCGTGCTGGACATTTGGAGAAACATGCAGACAAATCTCCAACAACTTAGCGAAAATGGGAAAACTCTGGCTGTTGTGGCAGCTGTGGGCTGACGTCACTTGTGTCTCATGCTTGTCGCCAGCACCGTGGTCCCAAGGTGGATGTCGGGAACAGCGAGTGGACACGAGTCCACTGCCGACACGGTCCAGTGCTACAGCCTCCCTGGGAGACACTGCTGCAAGCAAGGTGGAGCCCGAACGAAGACAGTGACCTTGTGCAAGAAAGGGTCTTCCTTACAAATGCATTCTGCAGGCAAAACAAACAAAACAAATGTAAGTGGAATAAATAAATGTACTCCCAGCTTCCCAGGACAAGGTCAAGGGCTGATCAGAGCAGAGACAGGCTGAGCTGTTGGGAGTGGGCTGTCGTCTAGAAATCAGACCATTTCCAAGTCCTAGGAAAGCCCCTACAAGCAAAAACAAAAGGAGACTTGGAGACCAGTAGAAACATGTGGCATGTATTTCACAGGAGCGCATGACTGGTAAGGGTACTGAAAATCGTATGGCATATGCCAAGACATGGCCAGGAGTGTGTGAGAGGGTTCTCTGACAAGTTCATAGAAATGCATATTTACAGGGAAACTATGTCTGGGTTTCAAGAAGTTCTGTGATGTAGTGGATTTATTTTTCAATTCTGTTTACCAGGACATCTTTTTAAACATTTAAAAATTTTTTTGCTCAAGAAAGGGGGACCCAGCACAATGGTCCGGTGGCTCCACCTGCTCCTCTTCCCATCCAGCTCCCTGCCTGTGGCCCGGGAAAGCAGTCGAGGACAGTCCAAAGCTTTGGGACCCTGCACCCGTGTGGGAGACCCAAAAGAGGTTCCTGGCTCCTGGCTTCAGATCAGCTCAGCTCCGACCGTTTCGATCACTTGGGGAGTGATCAACTGACTTCCTCTGTCTCTCCTCCTCTCTGTATATCTGCCTTTCCAAGAAAAATAAATAAATCTTTTATTGTTATTTTATTTTTGATGATGTTTACATAATTGATTAGGGTGGGAAGGGG